GATAAACCACATCCCCAGAGAGGATAATATGGCTGCTGATGCACTCGCAAAGCTCGCTTCATCCATGGAAGCCTCATTAGGGGAACCAGCACTAATTGGTCACCAGTGCGAGCCAAGCAGGATGGACATGGAGGCCACAAATATTGACTATGTATCTATTGAGTCAGACTGGATGACCCAAATCAGGGCATACCTCCAAGAGGGTGTGCAACCAGATGATCCCCTAGAGGCCAGGAAGCTAAGGATAAGGGCCTCCAAGTTTGCCATCTTGCNATTGAGTCAGACTGGATGACCCAAATCAGGGCATACCTCCAAGAGGGTGTGCATCCAGATGATCCCCTAGAGGCCAGGAAGATAAGGATAAGGGTCTCCAAATTTGCCATCTTGCAGGACACTCTATACAAGAGAGGCTATTCCTTGCCATAGTTACGATGTCTTTCACCTGAAGAAGCTCACTATGCCTTGCGAGAAATCCACGAAGGGATCTGTGGGAATCACTCTGGAGGGCGTTCCCTTGCCCACAAGGCGCTCAGACAGGGCTACTTCTGGCCTACCATGATAAGGGACGCCCAGGAGTTCTCCAAAAAGTGTGACAAGTGCCAACGTTTTGCGACTGTGTCAAGGCAATCACCTGAGGAGCTAACAACCATTTCAAGCCCATGACCTTTCTCCAAGTGGGGCATCGATATCCTAGGCTCCTTGCCTCTCAGCAAAGGGTAGTGCAAGTTTGTGGTGGTGGCAGTCGACTATTTCACCAAGTGGTCAGAGGCAGAACCTTTAACAAAAATCACAAACGCAAAGGTCAAAGATTTTATCTGAAAAAAGTTGGTCTGTTACTTCGGGATTCCCCATGCCATTGTCAGCGACAACGCCAAGCAGTTTGACAACAAGCTGCTGAACTCTTTCTGTTCTGACCTTCAAATAAAACAACCTCACTCCAGCCCGGCACATCCACAAGCAAATGGACAAGCAGAGGTCATNCTGTTCTGACCTTCAAATAAAACAACCTCACTCCAGCCCGGCACATCCACAAGCAAATGGACAAGTAGAGGTCATAGTAAGAACGGTGCTACGCAATTTAAAGACAAGGCTTGAAAAAGCAAAGGCCTTTGGGTAGAGGAGCTGCCAGGCGTACTGTGGGCTTATCGAACCACGCCAAGAACCCCTACTGGGGAGACTCCTTTTTCCCTCGCCTTTGGAACCGAGGCGGTCATCCCTGTGGAGATAGGGGTACACTCCCTATGGGTCCAGCACCACGATCCCATCACCAACGAGGAAGGACTCCGTAGCAACCTCGACTTGGTGGAGGAAGCAAGGGAGATGGCTGTAGTCCGCAACGCGGAGTATAAACGGCGCATGACAAGGTACTACAATTCGAGGGTGAAGCCCCGTTCCTTCCAACCTGGGGATTTGGTCCTCAAAAAAGTGATCCTCGCTACAAAGGATGCACGCGAAGGAAAGCTGGGACCAAATTGGGAAGGGCCCTACCGAGTAATAGAAGTAGTGAGACCAGACACCTACAAAATCCAAAATTCTGAGGAAAAAGTTTTACTCCATCCATGGAATGCAGAGCACTTGAAAAGGTATTACCAATGACACCTTGAGAGCATCAAAGCAGTAGAAGTTGAGACTTGATTTGATTTTTAGGGGTGTTACCCAAGATTTTAATGTATTTTTTTTTCGGGAAAGTAAAATTTTCTATGCCATTTACTCCAAAAAGATTTTATGTATTTCATTTCAAAGGAGTATCGGTACAAAAATAAGGCTAGATACCGCCTTTTCAAAAAAAAAATAAATTAAAAGTCCTAAACACTCTAACTGCTCTCATGATCGTCCCCCACCTCCTCCTCATTGTCATCAACAGATCAGATCCCCCCTCATCACTGTCGTCAGTGGACACGAAAGGTGAGAAGTCAATATTAGGGAAAGCGGTAGAAACCTTCCCTCGGAGATCCTCGAAACCATCAATAAAAGCATCTGCAAGACCATTCTCCAAGTCTTCCTCAGCGTAGGAAACTCTCTCCCGAGCAGCCGTCAACTTTACCTCTGCAACAGCTGCCTCTCTGAGCATGGCCCTCCCATGGGCCTCTACAAGCTCAGCCTCCCTGAGTGCGCTCTTCTCGCGGACTACCAAAAGCTCAGCCTCTAGCTTAGTGGCCCTCTCACGGGCTGCAACAAGCTCACCATCCCTGAGCGCTCTCTTCTCGCGGACTGCCAAAAGCTCAGTCTATAGCTTAGTGGCCCTCTCATGGGCTGCAGCAAGCTTACCATCCCTGAGCGCGTCCCTCTCGCGAGCCACCAAAAGCTCAGACTCAAAATTAGAAGCCCTTTCATGAGCTGCTACAAGCTCACCCTCCCGGAGCACGTCCCTCTTACGGGTCACCAAAAGCTAAAAATCAAGCTCGACAATCCTCTCCTGAGCGGTAATAAGCTCCCTCTGCACAAGGCTAAGATCCAGCTTCAGCTTGTCTTGATTATAGGCCCTCGAAAGCAAGCAGATGGAGGAAGTCGAAACCTAAAAAAAAAAAAAGAAAGGAGAGACAAGAGATTAAGAAAAGTCAAAAACACAGGAAACGACTGGAGAAAGGGAAATAACAGACTCTTACCTGAGCCAAACCTTCCAAATACGTGTTGACGATATTATCAGTGCCCGAAGCGCTAAGCTCAGAAACTTTTGGCCCAAACACAAACCTCCCAAGCCTTGCCTTGATAGCTGCCGGTCTCCCCATCATAGGACCAGCCCAAATCGGCACTCGGGTAGAAGTTCCTGAACAAGAAGGAGACAAAGGAGGGGTAGCACGAGGAGAGGATAAAGGTGGAATAGATGTGCCTGGCAAGGAAGATTCTGGAGTAGCAGCTGGAGAAGTTGCCAGTTGAGAAGGAGCCACCGTGAGAGTCACATGGGGGGCATCATCCCTCCTTGCCACTTTGGAAGAAGGAGGGCTCCTGCTAGAAAAGCGGGACACCACCACCCTCTTACTTGCTGCAAGAGTAGAGAAGGGTTAGATAAAAAAAAAAAGAGAAGGAGAGGAAACTAGCTCACCCCTTTTCTTCGAAGAGGAGCCGCCAGATTTCTGAGATGGAGCAACAGCTCTAGTATACTTGGGCAGGAGAACTCCCAAATCTTTACAAGGGCAAGCTTTGACAGCCTCCAATTTCCACTCCTGGTCCCGGGAAAGCACAGGTATATCTGCATGGAAAAAGTGAGCACACACACAAAAAAAAAAAGAAAAAAGAAGAAGTGTGCAGCATACCGGGTTTTTTAGCAGCACCCCAATGTGTTGGCACCAAAGCTCTGTCGGCTTCTGAAGCCCATTCTCTACCAATAAAGAAGAAACAAGATTTTCAGCCGTCGCAATTAGAGCGCGTTCCTGTAAGTACTGTACCACTCCGAGCGGTAAAATAGTACCACCCCTTATTTGGTGTAAGGGTTTCGCTCAAATTATATGCTGCATGAAACTCCATAGGGAAAGTATCTTCGTGTTGCACCTTTCTCCATAATGCAAGAAAATCCAGCAGGACTCTCCAATCGTTGGGCGCTAGTTGCCCCGGAGTTAAGGAAAAGTAATGCAAAACACGACAAATGGGAGATGACATGGGAAAGTTTAACCCAGCCTCAAGTATCTCCTCGTAGACAACAATATCCCTGGAAGAGTCATTGCAAGCAAGCTCGCCCAACTCAGCCCGACGGCACAACATGGTCGGAGGGATGCGATAAGTAAAAACAAGCCTTGAAATATCTTCATCTAAGCGGAACAAACTAGAAAGGGTGCTCACCTTAGACCCGTCATCATCAAGTCCCACTTTGCTCTTGCGTTTCTTCTTTCGGGGCCTTAAGGAGTAGTCCAAATCACCATTGGGAGAGTTTTGAGGAACTTGAATCGGGGGAGCTACAATAGGGGCTTGATCATCAAGGCCAGCACCCAAAGCTTCCTTACTACTTGTAATGTCTAGCCCAACGCCTGGAAGTGTGCCTGACTATCGTTGCTCATCAAAACAAAGTTGCCCAGTAGCTTGAAGGGTGCCTGACCCTTCAAAATTGCGCAAAGCAGAATTTTCGGCGCAAAAATCAGCACCTAAGGCGCCCAAATCAGCGTCTCGAGTAGGAATCGGATCAGCCCGTGCTCCCAGGCCACTGCCTAGCTCTCCCTGATGAACCTTGGACTAATTTTCAGTGCCCCTTGATGGAAAAATGTTGTTGCCCAGCATTCCAAAGCTGCCCAGCGCAGCAGAACTGAAGCTGTCCAGCACAGCTGAGCAGTCTGAGACAGCAGAAGCAGCAGCCAGGCTGCTACCCAGTGCCCCTGGCCTGTCCAGGACAGCAAGGCCAGCACCCAGGCAGCTGCCCAGCGCGCCTGGGCTATCCAGGATAGGAGGAGCAGAGCCCAGGCAGCCGCCTAGCCCCCCACCGCGCGCGCACTACGCAATCGCGCACCCAGCCGCTATCCTTCGCTGCCCAAGCCACTCCTCGCGCTGCCCATCTCCCCTTCGCTGTCCAGCCCTTCATTTACAGCCCCAAAGCTGTCCAAGACAGCATTCGAATGCTCAAAACCAGCCTCCAAGTTCTCCAAAATGGTGCCTACTTCCTCCAGCTCAACTAACAAGGAAGAAATCACACTCTTGAAAGGATTCAAGGAGAACACACTTTGGCTTCAACAAAATGGGTAGGACTTGAGTTCTCAAGATTTTCAAGAGGTGGGTGCTCAACCTTAAAAATGAGTGAAAATGGTAACATGAAGAAAAAGACTATATTTATAGTCTAGGGTTTTTCAAAAAGAGGGAAAAAGCCCAAATAGAAAATTATGGGCCCTTTTCNATCGTTGCTCATCAAAACAAAGTTGCCCAGTAGCTTGAAGGGTGCCTGACCCTTCAAAATTGCGCAAAGCAGAATTTTCGGCGCAAAAATCAGCACCTAAGGCGCCCAAATCAGCGTCTCGAGTAGGAATCGGATCAGCCCGTGCTCCCAGGCCACTGCCTAGCTCTCCCTGATGAACCTTGGACTAATTTTCAGTGCCCCTTGATGGAAAAATGTTGTTGCCCAGCATTCCAAAGCTGCCCAGCGCAGCAGAACTGAAGCTGTCCAGCACAGCTGAGCAGTCTGAGACAGCAGAAGCAGCAGCCAGGCTGCTACCCAGTGCCCCTGGCCTGTCCAGGACAGCAAGGCCAGCACCCAGGCAGCTGCCCAGCGCGCCTGGGCTATCCAGGATAGGAGGAGCAGAGCCCAGGCAGCCGCCTAGCCCCCCACCGCGCGCGCACTACGCAATCGCGCACCCAGCCGCTATCCTTCGCTGCCCAAGCCACTCCTCGCGCTGCCCATCTCCCCTTCGCTGTCCAGCCCTTCATTTACAGCCCCAAAGCTGTCCAAGACAGCATTCGAATGCTCAAAACCAGCCTCCAAGTTCTCCAAAATGGTGCCTACTTCCTCCAGCTCAACTAACAAGGAAGAAATCACACTCTTGAAAGGATTCAAGGAGAACACACTTTGGCTTCAACAAAATGGGTAGGACTTGAGTTCTCAAGATTTTCAAGAGGTGGGTGCTCAACCTTAAAAATGAGTGAAAATGGTAACATGAAGAAAAAGACTATATTTATAGTCTAGGGTTTTTCAAAAAGAGGGAAAAAGCCCAAATAGAAAATTATGGGCCCTTTTCAAAATAAAGTGGTCAAATAGAAAGTTATGGGTCCTTTTCAAAATAAAAAGGTCAAATAGAATATTATGGGCCCTCTTCAAAATAAAGTGGGAAATACTTGAAGTTTAAAAAAAAAAAATAATAATAATATAGTCAATGCCTCCTTCTCCAAGTCTCATTGGACATGGGGCATTGAGGGGCAAATGATAGGTTAAGTCCAAATAGTCCAATTTATGTGTTAAAGTCCAACCCCAGTTGAGGAGCTCAACCTTATTTTGAATCCACCAAGCCTAAGACAGCTTAAGACCGGTTAGACTTTTTGCTTAGCACGTCATCAAGAGGAGAGCATGGGAAGCTTATCTGCACCACTGAAGGAAACGGTCCAATCTTTGACCGCGTTTCATGAAGAGCTCCCCAACCTCCTCCTTCCGTTGAGGATAAGTCGTGATCTCCACCAGAATGATCTTTTAGTGCTATAGAGTAGCCTTGAGGATAAGTCATGATCTCCACCAGAATGATCTCTTAGCTGCGATAAAGTAGCCTTGAGGATAAGTCATGATCTCCACAAGAATGNCTATCGTTGCTCATCAAAACAAAGTTGCCCAGTAGCTTGAAGGGTGCCTGACCCTTCAAAATTGCGCAAAGCAGAATTTTCGGCGCAAAAATCAGCACCTAAGGCGCCCAAATCAGCGTCTCGAGTAGGAATCGGATCAGCCCGTGCTCCCAGGCCACTGCCTAGCTCTCCCTGATGAACCTTGGACTAATTTTCAGTGCCCCTTGATGGAAAAATGTTGTTGCCCAGCATTCCAAAGCTGCCCAGCGCAGCAGAACTGAAGCTGTCCAGCACAGCTGAGCAGTCTGAGACAGCAGAAGCAGCAGCCAGGCTGCTACCCAGTGCCCCTGGCCTGTCCAGGACAGCAAGGCCAGCACCCAGGCAGCTGCCCAGCGCGCCTGGGCTATCCAGGATAGGAGGAGCAGAGCCCAGGCAGCCGCCTAGCCCCCCACCGCGCGCGCACTACGCAATCGCGCACCCAGCCGCTATCCTTCGCTGCCCAAGCCACTCCTCGCGCTGCCCATCTCCCCTTCGCTGTCCAGCCCTTCATTTACAGCCCCAAAGCTGTCCAAGACAGCATTCGAATGCTCAAAACCAGCCTCCAAGTTCTCCAAAATGGTGCCTACTTCCTCCAGCTCAACTAACAAGGAAGAAATCACACTCTTGAAAGGATTCAAGGAGAACACACTTTGGCTTCAACAAAATGGGTAGGACTTGAGTTCTCAAGATTTTCAAGAGGTGGGTGCTCAACCTTAAAAATGAGTGAAAATGGTAACATGAAGAAAAAGACTATATTTATAGTCTAGGGTTTTTCAAAAAGAGGGAAAAAGCCCAAATAGAAAATTATGGGCCCTTTTCAAAATAAAGTGGTCAAATAGAAAGTTATGGGTCCTTTTCAAAATAAAAAGGTCAAATAGAATATTATGGGCCCTCTTCAAAATAAAGTGGGAAATACTTGAAGTTTAAAAAAAAAAAATAATAATAATATAGTCAATGCCTCCTTCTCCAAGTCTCATTGGACATGGGGCATTGAGGGGCAAATGATAGGTTAAGTCCAAATAGTCCAATTTATGTGTTAAAGTCCAACCCCAGTTGAGGAGCTCAACCTTATTTTGAATCCACCAAGCCTAAGACAGCTTAAGACCGGTTAGACTTTTTGCTTAGCACGTCATCAAGAGGAGAGCATGGGAAGCTTATCTGCACCACTGAAGGAAACGGTCCAATCTTTGACCGCGTTTCATGAAGAGCTCCCCAACCTCCTCCTTCCGTTGAGGATAAGTCGTGATCTCCACCAGAATGATCTTTTAGTGCTATAGAGTAGCCTTGAGGATAAGTCATGATCTCCACCAGAATGATCTCTTAGCTGCGATAAAGTAGCCTTGAGGATAAGTCATGATCTCCACAAGAATAATCTCTTAGCTGCTATAAAGTAGCCCTAATCTGTTAGGAGACTACTATAAATGACACGCCCCACCAACACTTACAAAGGACAAACCGACGACCGGAGACCACTGCTTCTATGATTCTCCATTCTTTCAAAGCTTGTATCTCTATTCTCCATGCCTTTGAATTAATAAAATACTCGGCAACTAAAGTCATTGAAGAGTGGACGTAGGTCGAATTGACCGAACCACTATAAATCGTGTCTTCTTTAATTTTCTCATTAATTTCACTGCATTTATTACCTATACTTGACAGGTAGTGTGCAAAACCATTTTTGTGCATCATCAAGTGTGATTGCTGTTGTTTCTCAATTCTCTAAGGGTTCAACCTCAGTCTTCTGAAAAATATATTATTTTACTCAACTTGTGCTTAGATTTACAATATTAAAGTTGAAACAGTTTTCATCACCCATCATGGATTTGTCTCATGAACCTAGTGTTGGTTGAGCAGTTTAACCTCCAAGCTTAGCTGAGATAATGAGTTAGTTTTAGAGCTAAATGACTTTTTGTAAATCACATGTAAAGATACTCCATTTCATAGAGAATGAATCTGATTATCTGTAATTAATACTTGCTTGAAGGCAATTGAGTATTTGTGGACCTTTCAATCATACCTGCTTTAATAACAAATTTGCTGCAAGTACAGTTGATAAGTCTTTCTTTTTTTTTTCTTCCATTAGGATTGCAACACGAGGATTTTCCCAATTAATAAGCACCTAAGTTTATTATTATAACATTAGAAAACGACCTCATACCATTTACCTTTTAATTGTTTATTTTCATTTGATTAAGGAAAAATGAACGTGAATTTCTTAATCAATTTGTGTGATCTCTCACTTTTGTCTTTTTCGAGTTATTATTATACCTCCAACTTGAGGCATCTTTTTTTTTTAATCAGAAAAAAGGGAGGAAGGGGCGTCCATAAGATAGTAACCCTCTGGCCGCCACGAGGATTTTTTGTTGTGGAATGTTCGATTTGAACTATAGTTATTAACTCGGAAGGGCAGTCCATCACTACAGAAATACCAATCAAGAAACAAATACCAATCAAGAAACAAACCATGTTACTCCCATAAATTGAATCTTACTTCGTCACCACGGGAGAAAAATTTCCATAGTTTTCTTTTCTTTTAGTCCTTGGCATTCAAAAGGAGCATATATAGAATGAAATTTACGACTTGACAACCCATAAAGAAAGTTTAAATTGCATTTAGTGGCCGAATTGTTTTACATAAATTACTCTCTCTCTCTCTCTCCCTCTCTCTCTCTCTCTCTCTCTCTCTCTCTCCAAACTATATAAAATACTTTTTTTCCATCCAAAGATATTTAACCTTCAATTGCCTGAAAATTTATGATTCTATACCTCAATGTTGACCGCAATATTGGTTTTGTAAATTTGGTAAAGGTATAATGAAAGAACAGTAATAAAAAAAGATAAGTATCTCAAAAAGAGGAATAACATATGTTCATCCTTTTAAGTGATACATCATATTTTTAAATTCGGGTATCAAAATTTTGACGGATGGTTAATGTCGCTCATTACTTATATTTCATGTCATCTTAAAAACGCAAGGTATGTATATTACGGTATGACTTTTTTCAGCAATCCCGAAAATGAACCAAAAGAGATTTCACATAAGAGACTCTAGCAACTAAAACAGCTCCAGCACTTCTTTCTCATTCTTTTCCTTTCAACTAGTTCGCATAACCTGTAAAGCTTGACAAATATACCTCTACACACTTAAATCCTCATGTTGGTGCATTTCTTTTACTTATATATTAAATAAATGTGAATTATAGGCCATCAAATAAAGTTAGGCTAATTAAAGTGATTAATTTAAGTTTTGAGGCCTTAATTAATATATTATAAAGTGTGGACATTAATGTATAGAGACAAGCGTAATTTCTATTTTTATGATGGGTTAAAATAAAAAATTATGAATATGCGTGACTGTTTATAAACAAACATGATTTTTTATAAATAGGAATCATGGTCCTCAGATCACACAATGATTTTTCTATTCTTCTAATTTCCATTGTCATATAAAAATTTAGACATAAAACAAGTGTAGATCTGAAAGATCATAAAATCTCAGACTCAGATATTTTAATATTTTGTTATGGATTCACGTATGCTTCCGTAAATTCAATATTTTAATTCTTGATGATTTAATATGAATGTTCCTGTTTGTGTGATGAATTTCGCATAAAGAAGTTAATCTTACAAAAAAAAAAAGACAATTGACTCTCTCTAAACTTGAAGTGATAAGCATGAACTGAGTTAATTATATTAAATATTTATAATAACCTTCTAGAAATATTATCTCTTTGAGTTTTCCTCCCCACCAACAGTAGTAAAATAGACTAAATTAACCAATAAAAACTTTATTAATTAGCATGCTGATGATGTATTGCTTTATTTAATTTATTCAACACGAAGAAAATGCTCAAATTAGTGCACCAAATTCAAGCATTGCTACTCTATTTTTCTCTCTGTCATGATTTGTTTTTTTCTTACCAGTCTACAGCTGCCCCCCTTTGAATTAAAGCATAGAAAACTTTTTAAACTGTATATTAAAGAATATTATTTATATATTAGTGTCACCACCAGTGCAAAATATATATTTTTTAATGAATATGTTGAGTTATTTTAGTTAAAAAATTAAAATTTAAATGAAAAATGGTAACTTTATTGGGGGGCAGCCTTCTTAACCGTCAAAACTACCCCCACAATGGCCTCTATTCGTTATTAAACCCGCGTGTTTCAAAAGTCTCTCTCACTTTGATCTTCGTTTGGAATTCCATCCAAGAGTAACTCAACTATCCTTTCTTCGTCTTGATTTCTAAATTATTTCTACATAACCCACCCACCCACNATGCAATCATGCGGTCTACTACTTTCTTATTATTCCCCAACAACACTCCTTTCCATTTTCAATGCTTTGTCTCCCCTCCTCCAACCCACCCCCACCCTCTCTCTCTCTCTCTCTGTATATATAATTATACATATATATATTGTGTGTGTGTGTGTTTTTGTTTTGCGCGCACCAAGAATTGAAGCGAAGGGTGTTTCTTGCTGGGGAGTTGAGGTTTGGCAATTCAATTCAGATAAAGGTATGATTTCAGATTCCCATGTCTGTATTTCAAGAACTGGGTTTTTTTTTATTTTATTTTTAGACAGTATTACAGAGTTTTATAGAAATTTCTCAAAATTTTAGCTAGAATTATCACGATTTGCTTCGATTAATTTGAGTTTGCTGCTCTCAAAATCTTTCTGGAGGGCTGACGAGTGAGCGAACTGTGTTACTGGAATTTTAGACTCAAAGAAAGCTTGATCGCAATAATATAGCCTCTGAACCCAACTATTCCTCCCACAAAAGTCAATTTATGTGGATTGAAACTTCCAAGCACCCTTTGTTAAATTGGGTGAATTGCCATTTTTTTTTTGTCCTGTGCAAATTATTGCAGAAAATATATCCTGGAGCTAGACTGAAAAATTTAACAACCCAGATAAGAAATGATCTTTAATAGGCTTTTTTTTTTTTTTTGTTTACGTGCATCTAGTCAAATGCCGACCATTTATATCGAGACTCTAGTCAAATGCCGACCATTTATATCGAGACTAAGATATTTACGAGAGATAAATTTCTCGTAGTCCGGCTCCAAAAAATTGTCAAAATTCTAAATCATAACGTTTGAGTTGATAATACGTTCCTGTTACCACTTGAATTACTCCAAAAGATTTTAATAGGCCTTATTGTGGCTCCCGAATTATAGCTTTAGCCTTTGTGTCAACAATATTTTCTTTCATGTGTATATTTTTTGTGATTTTTGAACTTTTCTTGTACGTGTAATAAAAATAAAAATTTTAAAAAAAGAAAAGGTTGCTCATGGTGATTATCTGTTGTCAATTGGATGTAGCTGGCTTTGTGTGGCGCTGGCTACTGCTGCTGCTGATAGAGTTAGGTTTCATACTTTTGAAATTTAATGGTGGTCGGTATAGCTGTTGAGTTGTTATTCATTATTTACTGCTGGATTTGCTTTCAGATTACAGGCTTCATCATCAATCCTCAACTGGGTCCACCATGTTTAGTAGTTGGCCCCAGCTTTTTGAAGACAAATTTCCCATCTGTTATCTATCATCTTGCAATCTTTTGGTTGGCCCCACGTGCAAATAATTTGTGTCTAATATAAGTCAAAGAAGACTCTGGTCTGAGTTGTCTTCACAAGTGTGAAGTTGATCAACCAGCAAATCAAAATGTTTCTGGTGACCAACATGATACTATTAATGACCTCCAAATTTGATTGTGAAGATAGTGTACTTTAGGTTAAAGTCGTAATTGAGTTAATACCGATTTGATTACATTTCGCTATGTTCTTGAATCGTATATCGTTATTGGATTAACAGTGGCCGAGACGAATAGGATTCGACCAACACTTTAAATCTTGACTTTGGACGAGTGTGAAACCAAAACAAATTATGTTGCGATTGATTATCAATCACACTGGTAAAGCCTTGCCTTTTATGACTTGGAGTTCAGGGTTGAACAACCCTAACATTCAATGATGGAGCCAAAGACAACAATTGCTTTCATTTGTTTCACACCTTGAGTCCTCCTACTTTGTCTTTTCACAGAGGTTCCTCAAACTAGCTAAGTGAGTCCCATTATCTCCCACAGCTTAAATGAGCAAGTAGTACTCAGTTATGGTCGATGGTACATAAATAACTGTGGCTCGTTTGAAATGAAGGGGATGTTTATAGTTCATCACTTTCAATTGAAAACTTCAGCAATGGTTGTAAGTCTGTATTGTATTACTGAAATTCGACTCTGTTATGCTGTTCGATTGTTTTCTCAGAACATTTTTTTAACTTCCCTTAGTGCTGTTTAGTGTGCTTGTAAAAGTTGCATCTCTGCATTTACTGTTTTTCCCTTGTTATGAAATTGCTCATTTTACTTACTAGCATACATCATTGCTTCCTGTTGAATGGCCAGCAGCCTCATAATCAAAATCCAAGCCAGTGAAACACGTACAAAGTAATTCCAAAAATGAAGAAAGTAGTCTCAACAACAACTATCGTTTACATTCTGGCCACAACTCTACTATTACTAGATGGATCAGTGGGGGAACCTAGAACTCAGACCGTTAAAATCATGTGTGGGAACCAACTTGAGCACAATTCTACCCTTTACGTCCCAAACTTTGTTGCTACAATGGAAAACATCAGTGCACAGATGAGAACTTCTGGTTTTGGAGTAGCAGTTACTGGTTCAGGACTTGACACTAACTATGGACTTGCACAGTGCTATGGCGATCTTTCTTTACTTGACTGTGTTTTATGCTATGCTGAGGCACGTACTGTCCTTCCACAATGCTTCCCTTTCACTGGGGGTCGCATTTACCTCGATGGCTGCTTTATGCGGGCTGAAAATTACAGCTTCTTTGAGGAATATACAGGACCAGGAGACAGGGCTGTGTGTGGGAATACAACAAGAAAAAGTCCTACATTTCAAGAGGCAGCAAGGAAGGCTGTGTTGCGAGCAGTTTCGGACGCACCAATCAATAATAACTATGCTCGGGGTCAGGTGGCAGTCTCTGGGACAGTAAATGAGTCAGCTTATGTTCTGGCTGATTGCTGGAGGACGTTGAATGCAAGCACCTGCAGAACATGTTTGGAGAATGCGTCTGCATCAATATTGAGATGCTTTCCATGGTCCGAGGGGCGGGCATTGAACACCGGATGCTTCATGAGATACTCTGACACCAATTTCCTTAATCCCATACCAAGCAATGGAAGTTCAAGAGGTAGCAAGATTTGTGTTATATACATCCCTATGTTTGTCAAAGTACTATATTACATTCAATTTATTAGCATGTGAGCGATTAACACAAATCTTGCGATTCAAATAACTATAACCGTAGGCCTCGTAAAGAGGGGCCGGGGGGTGTTAGAAATAAAACTTCAAGCTTGCTTCAAGTTTACCCAATCACAGTTTTTCCATAATGATTTTTGCAGGGACAATCATAGTGATTGTAGTTGCTGCTGTAAGTTCTGTGATTGTTCTGGCAATCGGGGCTGTAAGTGGAGTTCATTTCTGCAAGCATAGGAAGATACAAAAGAAAAGAAGAGGTATAAGCCTTTTTGCCTATTTAAACATAATCAAAGCTCTTTGTTGTTTTCTTATCATTCTCGAACTCCCCAGGTTCAAATGATGTGGAGAAATTGGCAAAGACCCTTCATGACAGTAGCTTGAACTTCAAATACTCTATACTTGAGAAAGCCACAGGTTCTTTTGATGAAGCCAACAAGCTTGGGCATGGAGGATTTGGAACCGTTTACAAGGTATTGTGTTGAACATAGCCAGAGAAAAGAAAGTATCTTATTTCCATCTTTTTTTTGTGGACTCAACCAGTTTGAAGTTCAGAAATGGAGTAGGATATAACCAAATCATCTTGCATAAAACGTACTAAGCGTTGCCGTTTATCCCTATTGCAGGGAGTTCTACCAGATGGTAGAGAGATTGCTGTGAAGAGGCTGTTCTTCAACAACAGGCACAGGGCAGCAGATTTCTACAATGAAGTTAACATTATTAGCAGTGTTGAACACAAAAATCTAGTCAGGTTGTTAGGTTGCAGTTGTTCGGGACCTGAAAGCCTTCTTGTGTATGAATTCTTGCCAAACAAGAGCCTTGATCGATTCATCTTTGGTAAGTAAAGATTTACATTGAAGCCTTGAATTCTATGTTCACATAGATGGCTTCTCAAACTTAACCAATGATGAGGGCATCGTTGTGGTAAAAAAAAAAAAAAGNCAATATTGAGATGCTTTCCATGGTCCGAGGGGCGGGCATTGAACACCGGATGCTTCATGAGATACTCTGACACCAATTTCCTTAATCCCATACCAAGCAATGGAAGTTCAAGAGGTAGCAAGATTTGTGTTATATACATCCCTATGTTTGTCAAAGTACTATATTACATTCAATTTATTAGCATGTGAGCGATTAACACAAATCTTGCGATTCAAATAACTATAACCGTAGGCCTCGTAAAGAGGGGCCGGGGGGTGTTAGAAATAAAACTTCAAGCTTGCTTCAAGTTTACCCAATCACAGTTTTTCCATAATGATTTTTGCAGGGACAATCATAGTGATTGTAGTTGCTGCTGTAAGTTCTGTGATTGTTCTGGCAATCGGGGCTGTAAGTGGAGTTCATTTCTGCAAGCATAGGAAGATACAAAAGAAAAGAAGAGGTATAAGCCTTTTTGCCTATTTAAACATAATCAAAGCTCTTTGTTGTTTTCTTATCATTCTCGAACTCCCCAGGTTCAAATGATGTGGAGAAATTGGCAAAGACCCTTCATGACAGTAGCTTGAACTTCAAATACTCTATACTTGAGAAAGCCACAGGTTCTTTTGATGAAGCCAACAAGCTTGGGCATGGAGGATTTGGAACCGTTTACAAGGTATTGTGTTGAACATAGCCAGAGAAAAGAAAGTATCTTATTTCCATCTTTTTTTTGTGGACTCAACCAGTTTGAAGTTCAGAAATGGAGTAGGATATAACCAAATCATCTTGCATAAAACGTACTAAGCGTTGCCGTTTATCCCTATTGCAGGGAGTTCTACCAGATGGTAGAGAGATTGCTGTGAAGAGGCTGTTCTTCAACAACAGGCACAGGGCAGCAGATTTCTACAATGAAGTTAACATTATTAGCAGTGTTGAACACAAAAATCTAGTCAGGTTGTTAGGTTGCAGTTGTTCGGGACCTGAAAGCCTTCTTGTGTATGAATTCTTGCCAAACAAGAGCCTTGATCGATTCATCTTTGGTAAGTAAAGATTTACATTGAAGCCTTGAATTCTATGTTCACATAGATGGCTTCTCAAACTTAACCAATGATGAGGGCATCGTTGTGGTAAAAAAAAAAAAAAGATCTACCACTACAACTTAGTGCATGTCTAATCTTTCCATCCCAAATACGTGTTGGTACACTGTTAATGGAATCATGCTAAACGTCCACAACACTTGACAGATTCAAGCAGAGGCAAATCACTAAACTGGGAGAAGAGGTTAGAGATAATTATTGGGACATCAGAGGGTCTGGTTTACCTTCACGAAAATAGCAAGACCCGCATCATCCACCGAGACATAAAAGCAAGTAACATCTTGTTGGATTCAAGGCTCCGCGCTAAAATAGCTGATTTTGGGTTGGCCAGGTCTTTCCAAGAAGATAAGAGTCACATCAGCACTGCCATTGCAGGAACATTGTACGTATGCTTTCAATTCTTTGGTAATTATTCGCAACAATCAGCTAATGTTGTGGCAGATTCAACAATATGATTATTGAGGAATTGCTAAAATTTGCAATGACTTGATTTGCTGAATTTGCAGAGGTTACATGGCTCCAGAGTACCTAGCCCATGGCCAATTAACAGAAAAGGCAGATGTGTACAGCTTTGGTGTCCTTTTGTTAGAGATAGTTACAGGAAGGCAAAACAACAAGAGCAAAACTTCAGAATACTCCGAAAGCCTGGTCACAATTGTAAGTTCTAAAGCTTCAGTTCAGTTATTCTATGTACATCCTATGCACATGTGAGCTACAACAATCCAATAATCTGATTCGAACTGATTACCTGTTATGTTTTTTTTTATTAAACAGTCATGGAAGCATTTTCAACAAGGGAGAGCGGCAGAACTTTTTGACCCAAACCTAATGTTGCATAACTACCACAACAGCAACATCAGATTTGAGGCTTTGAGAGTGATGCATGTAGGACTTCTGTGCACTCAAGAGGTTCCATCACTACGACCATCAATGTCCAAGGCACTGAAAATGCTGGCCAAGAAAGATGAACACCTCCCTGCGCCAACTAATCCTCCTTTTGTAGATGAGAATACCATGGAACTCCATGACACATCCGAAAACCCGTCTGACCCCCTTAACAGTACCAATTCTGCTTCTGTTGCCAGTGTCTCCCATAGTTCCTTCTACCCCAGGTGATGTCTAAGAAGAATGAAACAACAACAATTTCATGGAAGTAGTTCTCACAACCCTCTTATCTACAAGGGAAAGATCTAAGCATCTCAAAGTCATATCTTAGCCTCCCTTGTGTGCATTTTTCAAGCATTCCGCTTAGTCGGGAATTTGAGATACAAAAAGGAAACAAGTATGGATTGATCTTCTGGGTATTGGCAAGTACCACAGAGATTACGCACAAAGTCTTGAAGGTAACATATGCACACTTGTTTTGATAGCCAACTCACAAGTATACCATGCACATAGTTCAAAAATGCAGGTTACATCTAAACATTATGTTGTGACTATGGATCAGAAATTATGCTATGTAAATTGTCGGTGTGGTATGGATACAATTGATCTGATAAGATCAATATCTTCGTTTCATTACCAGGGGTTTGATCATGCTGGTAGCCTCTATGTTAAAACCCGTTAAGAAAATATTAATCAGCCACATCTTTTATGGGCCAATATCGACGAGTTTTCACCCGTGTTCATGGTCTTCTGATTCCAACTAAGACCAGATTGAGAGAAAAAGATGGTAAAACTTCAAGCCCTACTTTGTAAGTCTAAAAGGAGTCCAAGCAATATAAACTTCCAGGAAAAAGTGTCCTTTGTTCAATGAAATTTGTGAGTGAGGGGAAAATGGCGATGGACAATGTACAATGAACAAGATACAATTCCAAACGATCCAAGGGAGTTACATTTTGAATATACATGAATCGCAAAGCCAATTTACTTTGTTATTGTGGGAAATAACATTTCAATGTCAGTAAATAACACATTTAGAAAATCTACATGAACCACCCATAAGCATTAAGTTACCAGTACATTTGAGAGTATACGAGCGGGCACCTCAGTCAGCCAAAAAGAAGGCCATCCATAACAGCTAATTGCATGTTTTCCGATGGTGTCCAGTGGCGCTTCCGTTGATTGATAAACCAATTGTTAATTTGCTTCTGATCTAGGCCCGTTGATTCAGCCAGTGATATTTTATCAGCTTCCTATAGACGATTAGCAAACAAGAAGCAGATTATGATCTTTTTCAGGGTAAGTAGCAAGGACACGTATGATAATTATACTACAAGCTCATGGAAAAAAGTCAAAAAAAAAATATTTTTTAAAGTACAAGGGATATTCACACTGCAAAACATGGCATTTAAAGCAAATTTCATCATATACTTGGTAGTGTACAATTTATTCCAAGGCATCAACATATGAAGCTGCTAGCCCACCCGTAGTCTCTTATTTAATGAGAGAGAGCAGACAAGATAAAACTAATACGAGTGTTCAAGGGTAAAAGGTGGATTTATTGTCGATGTCATGACCTAAGATCATGGTCAATGCAGCCTTAAAGGTGGATAATGATCCTTAGTGTATATTTTTATTCATTCACTACTGCTATGATCATAAAAAAATAAGTTACTAACACATCCCAACTCGACAACTTGTTGCCCTCTCATGCATTTTTAAACCCTAAATATGATATGCACTTGTTTGCTACATTGCCCAACTTCGGAAATACTTTGTGTGCATGCGAATAAAAAAGTTTCTTCTCTAGTTATTTACTTTCTTTTTCCATACATAACTTGTTCAACCACTTCAGGGCTATGGTCTCTTAATTTCTTTCAGGTGAAGGGTTCAAGGCCACCTCCCAAAAGCCGAAAAGAACAATCCTATTAGGGTTTTCAAACTACTTGCATTTTATTCATGGCTATAGCCAAACAACAACTCTCCAAAGTATGCGTATACCATAAGATGCGTGAAAGAAATACTCACAGTTGGGTAAGGCCATTTATAGTGCAAATTCCACCATTCAAGTAGTGTTTGTCTTGCCTCCTTCGGTAGCTTTCCTTTCTTTTTCTTCTTTGAGAATTCCAGCTTCAAGGTACCAATGTGACTACCAAATTTATGCAAAAGCCTATCCTTAAGTTCTCGGTCTTCACTCTTCATTTGTGCCTCGGTTACTGCTGTCTCTCCTCCACTAAATTCTTCATCTGACGATGGACCTCCTTCATCTGGCCAGATAATTGTCAAAAACAAATGGACAAAAATTGAAATTAAAAGGACTTTAAACTTCAATTAATTCATTAGTTTGCTTAATAAATATGTATCGCTAGACACACACAACAGCACTTTAACAATCACAAGGATGATAATTGAAATGCGTATAGGTATAGCCCAACTAGAAGACCAAACTTCATTTAAAAGTAGTTTTATCAGTAACGAAAACATGTGCTCCGGAAATTCCAATCTTGATTACAAGTTGTTTATAGCCAACTCTACTATATAATCACTAGCACATAAATTAAAAAGGCAGTTACGAGATCAAAGGAGCAGAAAATAGCTTTCATTTACCTGGAAGCTTTAGTAATGCAAGGGCAGAGGCTAACCTGGAGGCACAAAGTATACGTATTGAGTCATGTCGTATCATGTTTCCTTTCTCAAGTCTAGTCAGTGTCAAGTACAAATTTCACTTCACCAAATAGTTTAACGGGTCAAATCGTTTGAATTCTAAAATAACAAAGATTAATCTTCTTGTCAGAATACATATTCGTCTATGGGTAATTTTACATTATACCAAAAAATATTAATTTTTAAGATCAAGTTCAACATTTTCAAGTTGAAATCACAACCAATTCTAATTATAATCAGTTAAAACTACACCTTCAAGATTAATAACCCGATCTTTAAAAATTATAACTTTCTCGATTACAAGTTGCAAATATAATAAAATTAATTTGTAGGTTGTATCCACAGCGTGACCACGAGCAGTCCATCGCTGTGAAATGTTCGATTTTGAACCACAACTATTAACTTGAAAAGACAGCTCGTTATCATAATACTATCAAAATCATGCATCGCTACTCTCATAAATCAAACTCTATTTAATAATCACATGAAAATAGACATTAAACATATTCGACTTCCTATTAGACAACTGATTCAAATAGTATTACAAAGTTATATATCTCGGGGATAGAGAACAGGAAAAAGTGGTGGCAAAAGATAATAAAAGCCTCAGACAGATTTCCGATGGGTCGTTTCTAGGTCAGACGTAAGGGAGTTGTGTGATTAGACGCCACGACCATCCAATCAAAGACACAGTCACAGTCGCAGTCGCATGGGTTAAAAGACAACCCCGAGAAGCGCACCCATATATTCACTCAGAGTCACAGTTACAGTATTCACAACTCACAACAAAACCAAATCCAAAAGACAAAGCTTCTACACCCATTATGACCCGACCGGTATGGCCATCCATAACCTTTCCTCTACAAAAACCAAGCTGCTACATACAAATTTATTTTCTGATAAATCTTTCTTCAGTTATATAATTTGCCTATGGTACCAAATTTTTTTTTTAAATATCATACCACTTATCATTTTTTAATAAATAATAAATAATGTTAATCTCAAATTACACCCTGAAAGATTTTTTGAATTTTAATTTGTCCACTTAAAGAAAAAAAATCTCAATTTACACTATCAAAGATAAAAATTTATATCACTACGCACCTCATGTTAACAACAATCAATTTGTTGTCTATAATTAAATGAATAAATTATGCCTAAACCCCTTCACATTTAAAATATTACATATATATCCCTTAAAAATTAAAATATGACTAAAAATATTTCCCCAATTGGACATTCAAATAATTATGTATAAGTGATGGACTATACAAAAATTTATATAAATACTTGCATTATATAGGATATTCAAATGATAAACTTGACTTTAAACTTTAGAGTATAATAGAACCATAAAATAAATTGTAGTATAAAATTATAATTTTTATTAGAATAAAATCATATTTATTAACGATTATATTAATTAACAAATATCAATAAAAATGAAATCTATGTTACATGTGTACAAACGTCAAAAGATATAGAAGTAATATTCAAAATGTGAGAAATCCAAATGATTAAATGACAAACATGAGCGAATATAGGTGTAATTTATCCATTTAGTGGTATAAATTAAAATTTTTAATTGTTGAGGGCATAACTTGAGAATTTTAATTTTTAAGGATACAACTTAAGATTCGAACGATCTTTCGAATTTACAATTAACCCAAATATCTACAATGCTTTTTAGACAAATTTTCCTAACTTTTATGGTGCATTTATTTTTTATGTTCAACTACATATATACCAACAATAATTATGTGTTCAAAGAAACTATACAGTATCAAAAATCAATTTGCTTTTGTAATATTTGTATTTAAATAATAATTACATAAATTAAAACTAAAATGAAGAGAAATAAGTGCAAATTGATAATGATTGTTTGATATATTGGAAAGTGTGTTAATCGAATTGTTTGATATTGAAAGTTGTACAGAGAAGTTAATATTTTTGGGCAAAAAAAAAAATCTAAGAATTTTTTATATCATTGAATCAAAGCAAATAAAGATTTAATCAATCTTGATCATTGTTTTAGAAAGACAAAGAATACATAATTTAAAAGTCACTAGTTAAAAAAATACAAGTTCTCTTAATAATTCAACCATAACAAGAAGGATCCCTTTTATTGAAAACCATATTGAAATAACTTTTAAAATCAACAAAAAATAATTAATAAAGAAAACATAAAAATACATAATTTAAAAGTCACTAGTTAAAAAAAATACAAGGTCTCTTAATGATTCAACCATAACAAGAAGGATCCCTTTCATCGAAAACCATATTGAAATAACTTTTAAAATCAAAAAAAATAATTAATAAAGATGACTTTGTTGTAAAATAAAAACCTCAAAAGGTCCCAAATATTTTCAGATATCATTAGAATAATCTAGATAATTGCATGAAAAAACTAAAAAGGAGAAAAATCAACAAGAAAAATAAAATCATTCCTAGAAGAAAAAGGGGTAGGTCTATAACAACGGAAATTAACTTCTCACTGCCATATCAAAAAATTAAGTGAAACCCTTTTTTTTTTTTTTTTGAGTTATTTACATTTAATCAAGAAAATTATAAAATATATTTTGAAAAAATGGGGGCCCCAGGAGGTGGGGTGGGGGAAGCCCCTAAGAAACAGAAAGGTGCGGGAGCTTGGACTTTGACTGATAATAAGGGACCCACAGCAAAATTAAGCCACCTCATCCAGCATTAAGCCCCATCCTCCCGACAAATTTCCATGGATTTGACAACCACTACTCTGAACCAGTCAGTCTCAGTGCGTTTGGACTTGAGAGAGAGAGAGAGAGAGAGAGAGAGAGAGAGTGTGTGCGTGTGTATCTGGGAGTCTATGAATGGCTTTAAAAGCTGGCTGCATTGCAGCGGAAACCGCGGGAGTCCATGTGACCTTCGACCACCCGCTCTACCCGGGCTTTTCAGTAAAGCTCCAGTGCCCCACCCCATGCCCACCTGACCCACCCATATTGTCTTCTAGATATTTCTCCCTCTCTCTCTGTCTCTCTTCCTCTCCAATCATCCACCGATTCTTCCAGTTCCAATACACTTCCAGACAATGACCATGTATTATTGCCTAACATATTAACGACCATGTGGGTTTTGGTAGGAAAAGGCCATCTGTTGGGTCTAACTATCACCAGTCTAAACCCTAGTGCCTATCATAGGTCATCTTCAGTTGATGAACTCACACGTTGTCACTTTCGAGGGTCTTTATATAATTTTAATTTATTTTATTTTCACAATCAGTAACTACAAATACATTAAACCAAGATCATTGCACCGAATATTTTGTGCTAGTACCATAACTTCATCCTACTACCATTGAATCATAAAGCGTAACATGCAGACCAATATGCCCAGTCGTTTAGTGAATTTTCATAACCTTACTGTGCGAAAATGGAATATGCAATTAGGAGTAGTGTACATATAATTCCTAGATAACCACATGACACCCAAGGTTTTGGGGTTTTGGGGGGAGTTAAAACTGCTTCTTCTTTTTTTCAATCACTAGACTTCTGTCAATCTTGTAGTTCAGAAGAACAAAGCATCCATATCCAACTAANCCCTTTTTTTTTTTTTTTTGAGTTATTTACATTTAATCAAGAAAATTATAAAATATATTTTGAAAAAATGGGGGCCCCAGGAGGTGGGGTGGGGGAAGCCCCTAAGAAACAGAAAGGTGCGGGAGCTTGGACTTTGACTGATAATAAGGGACCCACAGCAAAATTAAGCCACCTCATCCAGCATTAAGCCCCATCCTCCCGACAAATTTCCATGGATTTGACAACCACTACTCTGAACCAGTCAGTCTCAGTGCGTTTGGACTTGAGAGAGAGAGAGAGAGAGAGAGAGAGAGAGAGTGTGTGCGTGTGTATCTGGGAGTCTATGAATGGCTTTAAAAGCTGGCTGCATTGCAGCGGAAACCGCGGGAGTCCATGTGACCTTCGACCACCCGCTCTACCCGGGCTTTTCAGTAAAGCTCCAGTGCCCCACCCCATGCCCACCTGACCCACCCATATTGTCTTCTAGATATTTCTCCCTCTCTCTCTGTCTCTCTTCCTCTCCAATCATCCACCGATTCTTCCAGTTCCAATACACTTCCAGACAATGACCATGTATTATTGCCTAACATATTAACGACCATGTGGGTTTTGGTAGGAAAAGGCCATCTGTTGGGTCTAACTATCACCAGTCTAAACCCTAGTGCCTATCATAGGTCATCTTCAGTTGATGAACTCACACGTTGTCACTTTCGAGGGTCTTTATATAATTTTAATTTATTTTATTTTCACAATCAGTAACTACAAATACATTAAACCAAGATCATTGCACCGAATATTTTGTGCTAGTACCATAACTTCATCCTACTACCATTGAATCATAAAGCGTAACATGCAGACCAATATGCCCAGTCGTTTAGTGAATTTTCATAACCTTACTGTGCGAAAATGGAATATGCAATTAGGAGTAGTGTACATATAATTCCTAGATAACCACATGACACCCAAGGTTTTGGGGTTTTGGGGGGAGTTAAAACTGCTTCTTCTTTTTTTCAATCACTAGACTTCTGTCAATCTTGTAGTTCAGAAGAACAAAGCATCCATATCCAACTAATTTTAGTGAAAGTAAGGTCTAGTCAAGGAGATGCACTACATTCAAGTAAGAACAGGTAGCAAGCATATAGCACAGCAGTAATGCAGAAATAAAAACACTTTTACGAAGAGAAGTAGAGTTGATAACAATAGTGATAAATTGTATTCAAATTGCAGTCTTGGACTTCCGTTCAGTGCTTGTTTGCAAAACATTAACACATGCATTTAATCCTATTGATATGTGAAATAGGATTCAAACACTACTTGAGAATAACAGTATATTAGCCTGGGGTTTTCTCCTTTCAAAACATCATTTGACAAATTATCTGACTAAGAACTTCGAAAATAGGCTCCTTAAACTATACCATACACTGTCATTTGCATTGCGATCTGGATGTGTAGGTATAATATGATTAAAAGCATAAAATAAAATAATATTTCACACATACAAAATATACAAAGCATTCATCAATCGGAGGAAATAAAAAACGTAAAATTGGTCAGCCAACATGAACAACCACAAAGTGATGCAAAGGCCTAATAAAAACAGCATCCAGGTAGATTGCAAGCTCAACACAATCAAAGCACACGTGAATATATGCTAATCTAATGTTCATGTGGACTTCTGCAACTTATGTCTGAAGAATCTTATATGCCAAAGAAAGCACAAGGAGAAAAAAAAAAAAGGAACACGAAGCCAGCTATGATTAATAAGAAAATCACTCAAAAGTCAATTTGTACTTCCAAACAAAAACAATTATAGTTGCCACCCATAACCAACCTCGTTACTTTGATCAATGACCTTTTATGATTCACATCTTTACATAAAACAGCGTATCTTTTTTTTTTTTAAAAATTATTCAATACCTGCAACTGTCTAAGGTTGTTTGATCAATATGCCCAATTCCATGACCTCCACTATGGAGATGGAGACAACACCAGCTTTTGTCTAATGGAGATGCATAAAATAACACGACTTTGCACTAAATTCACAGATATATGGATTAAACTGATCGAGTAAATAAATCGCAACTGTACTTTGCCAATTTATAATTTGTAGCCGTCACAAAATAGTACGATAAGTGCCAGCCTAGAAAGAAACTATCGATGAGGGTTTAACAAAAAGAAAGATTTGGATGAAGATGCAAGTAAAGGAGAAGGGAATATATAAATGTTTTATTTGAAGAAGATAAAGAACCTTAGAAAATTAGAAGATAATGTTCATTTCATTTTGTTAAAAAGCTATCCAATAAAACTTCTGCGAAAGAAGCAATAGCTTTAACTGCAGAACAGCCAGCACTTAGACATTTCCCGATGTTCAGTTCTATCTTTCGCATGCACGTTATGCCAAACACCATGCTTGTATTGGAACTTGAAACTCTTTAAAGTATAGCAGACTCCATTACAGGACATTTCCCACGACATTGAAATAATACGCCAGGTCTACTCAAGTCACAATAGCAACATAGTAACCAGACATCACTCAATTCTCTGAAGAACTTATTATTCATTTGACAGTGAATTAATTAAAATTATTTCAATTTCCTGGGGAGTAAAATAAAAGTGAATCGTAGTAGTAACAGTATACTAGAATTAACCCCAAAAAATAAAACAGTATATACTAGTGAGGAAAATGCATCTCATTTCAACACAAAAAAGCATCATCACAAATATGAAATGAATAATACTTATGTATAGCATTTTCAGCTCCAAAACGATCAAATTTCTGTTCTATCAGCGGAAAATATGAGTAAGTTATTGAAAACACCGCTGCAATGGCATATTTAAACAGCTTGATATTTGAATTAATTTCATGTTGCACTCTAAAAATATATAACCTCATCTACTAAAACCCACTACTAATGGAGTTGAGCCATTAACACACTGCACAAAACTCATCAAAATCAAATAAACTTACTGCACAAAACTCATCAAAATCAAATAATTTTTTTATCTCATTATTATGTTTTGTATTTTGGATCTCTCTAAGAATGCCTATCCCAAGATTAACTCCATACCAACAAGAAGCAAGTCCGAGGCAGGATTCTTGTTTCCGTAGTACAAAGTTCTATCCATCTAATTAAACCCAAAATATGGATCTGCCTGTGACAACCAAAATTTGGACCAATGAAGAGGCTTGACTACGCTGCCAAAAAATAAGAAGAAGATTGACTACGTTTCTAGGACGAAACAAAAGATAATAATCAATGTTTGGGAAACTATAAACTTTCCTCAATTAGGTCATCGGAACACAGAAGTGTCAAAGTCGAAGGGGTTATTTCCGGGCTTCATTTTTCTCTGACACCGAAGAGAAAAGGTAAAATAAAAGGAAACAAACAAGATGAGTGGTAAAACTAACTAACTAAGAGTAAGCCACCCTGAACTTAGAAAGGTAAAGGTTCTCAACACTGTTGCAAAGTCCATGGGACTGCAGAAACCTTGACTTTTCTCTTAAAGATTAAATCTTTCCTGTACAAAACTAGGAAGACAGATCATATGTGCAACCACAACTGTGCCAACCACATATAAATGCAACATTACCAGAATTATATCCAATGACAGTACACAAATGCAAGCGAATAAAACAGTCAATAATCTAAGAAGACGGTCTCTTTCATTTCTAGGGTTTTTGGAGTTTATGTTATCTGTTATTATTATGAAATCTATAACCTTTGATTGTTCTTTCTTGGTAATTCTTTGCAGAAACAAGAAAGAAGGTAGGAGGAGACTAGACGAAGACTTTAGTAAGCAATAGGAAAGCTATGAGCTTTTTATGCTAACATGAGCCAGATTCCTGCTATTGTGAGCCAAGAACAGCACAACATATCTGTCATTTCTTAACAATGATAGTGTGACAGCTTTACAGATCTCTTACTAGACTAAATGGCAATTCTAATGCGGTTTTAGAGCGAAAAATATGAATATGTGGCGCAAAACTCAATGGGGAGAGAGAGAGAGAGAGAGAGAGAAGGTTGGGGGGGGGGGGGGGGACGCATATGATGGGCCGCACCTTTGCAGAGATTGCCGAGTTGCATTTCAATCTTGTTCAAGAACGTGGTTGCTTCATCAAAGGGCCTTGAGAGATCGGATTTGTACTTCACCAGTACATCACAATATGTTTCCTGGAAAAGAAAGGAGAGAGGCTCGGAGATTCAATAGAAACAGTAGTGAGAAAAGGAAGAAATAAAACTAAGAAAATCACATACCATGAACTCGTCGAGCTCGGGATCGGCTCCGAAGCCCATGGAGACAGACTCTCGGTTCCAAACGTCGTTTTCTCGACGAATTTCATCGAGGAGACAAGCTATCTCCGGTGGCGCACCCACCTGAAACAAAAAACAAAAAAAAAAAAAAAAAAAAAGTATCCAAAAGCAAGGAAAGCTTTAAACTCTAAGTGTAAGAAAATTAACAACTTAATTTCCCTTCCAAAAGTAGATGAAGGAAAGAGAGTTTCATAATAGTTTTTTAGAAAATCGTGGGAAGTTTTGACAACTCTATAATTCCTGTTGGTTGTGAGGATCTAAGAGCCCCAGCGAATAGTAGGAACGAACATGAAGCAAAACTACAAGACACTATAAAAGTTAATTAGGTTTTAGCTTCAACTGCAGTGAAAACTGCAGGTTTGAATCTTGATCCTCACCCCTCAATGTTCATCATAGAAGCTAAATATAGCTCTGATAAGCAAAAAAAAGAACATACAGAAGCACAAAAAAGATACTTTTCTATGTGAATTATACCTTCTGGCAATCGATGTAGGCATCAAGTAATTTCGGATATGAAGGATGAGAGGCGATTTTGGCCTTGATCACACTAGAAGCATCATCGTCTTCATCACGATGAGGACCTCTTTGAACTTCAGGTGTCATTGAAGCCACTTCTGAAATCGCCGAACATTGAAACCCACTTCCCAAATCCTCCCCTCCGAACATTGGAATTCTATAATGATCATCGCCAGAGGAAAGCAGGCTTTCGTACTCCGCCGGGATCATCAGATTTTCTGGTGACATCAAGACCTTGTCCGCTAGTCCATACATTTCTTCCATGATATATGGTATATCTGCGAAAACTGTAGAAGTTATACCTTGAGGGTATGCTAGATATAGTTCTTACTTGGCTCAGATCAGTATGTTTTCGTTTAGATATATAATGGAAGTTCAAGATTAGGTTTGAATTGGGATTGGCAAAGAAGATGAAGAGGGAGTGGTGGTGGTGGTGATGGTGGAGGAGGAGGATTGTGTCATTATTTTGGTGAACAACCAAAGAGATGCTGAAGCTAAGGCTGAAGTTAGTGGGGTTGAGCGAGTGAGGTCCATTGTTTCAATTAATTATTGGCTACTTATATCTTTCCCCTTCCGTTCTTTTTTTATTGTAGATTTTATACATGTGAATTATATATTCTATCAAATAATACAGCTACCATTTTAATTGCACATTTATAAAAATATAATAATAATAGTTGAGATTAATTTAATTTTTATCTAATTTCATTTAACGACACAAAACTAATTTTAAAAAAATATTCAACTTAAAAAAATCATCCTTTCTGCACAATTGTTAATATTAAATTAATTTTTTTTTGTCAACAATATTAAATAATTCAACTAACACACCCTCAAATATTAGACAACCCCTACTAATTCAACCCTACATTTATCTTCTCTCCTTTTCATCCCTCTTATTTTCTCTTTATCTACTTTAATTTTTAATTATATAATTAAAAAAATAAAAATAAATTAATATTTAAATATAAAAATATTATATGAGCAATACTCAATTTTGATATTACAAAATATCTTCAAGTACGAGATTATTACAGGTTAATATATATGTGATTATAAATAGAAAATTTGAAAAAGTTCTAATTAGAAAAATGCAAGAAAAATGACAAAAAAATATATTAAGAAAAATAAAAAATAGTTTCAAAAGTAATATCAAAAGGTACAATAATATATACAATATAGAGTTAGAAAGACTTGGTCTTTTTCTTTACCTCATTACACAATTTGGTAACAATCATATATTATTTCCATATGATACTAAAACTTAATTTTATACGATTGTATTTTTTTTTCAACAAGAACATGACACATGTACAAAAAAAAAATCTTTTTTCTTAATTTTATCATTTTTACGATTAATGTATACAAATAAATCAAATCATCTACAAGACTATTGTTTTCAAAAAAAAAAATCTATCAGACTATAACTACACATAAATTTTGAGAAGTTACAAAAACAATTATTTTTTGGTACTATACTTTTATTCATATTTCTTCTGTTCAAGTAAGTCCATCTCGTCTAATTAAGATTATATTACCAAAAAATAATTTTTAAATATTAAATTAAACCCATATTATTAATTTAACTTATTTGTAACTATTGACCAATCTAGCCATTTAGAGCTACGTTGTATAAATGAAGTTAGAGTTCGGTCCAATGATCTGATAAAGCTATTCGCTAAATCCTACTAAATCGAGTGCTTAGTTATTCTTTAAATACTTTTTAAAGAATTTATTAATTGGTCACTTTAGGATCAAGAAGAATCACATTCTTCAAAAAACATAAGAAATTGAGGAATAAAATGTGAAAGGTAGAGAGACTTACTAATCTATAAACAAATCAATAGGGGTATTTAAAATTCTGCCCACCCAATCCATTCCGCAATATTTCGACTTACCTTACTTGATAATTCCACTTTAACATTTTTTTTGTTTTCCTATTTGACCCGCACGTATATCTTATTTTTATTTTTTAAAATAATGTGTTATAAAATGATGTCATTTTGTTTGTTATAAAACAACATTGTAAGAAATCTTATGACTTGTGATTGTGTATTATTTATAGTATTTTTGACTACCAAAGAACATATCAATCAAATTTATTGTATTTTCTTTAACTTATTATGTTGGTTTACATATCTTTATATTATATTTTAATAGTCTAGTTATAAAAATAGTCCAAAAACTTGTTAATTGAATTATTAAAATTACCCAAAAATTAATAACCTAAAGTTTGAAAATTTGTAAGACATTCCGCAATTTTATCCGACTTTTCGAATCGATTTTTTGGTCGAAATTCGGCTCAAAATATCACCCTAAATCAAGTAGGGTTGACCAAAGAAATAGTTTTTGCAATTTATCAGCTCGGAACATAGAATCTAAAAATTCTTACGTGGCGATTGGAGTAAACAACCAAATCAAGTTGTTCATCAATAAACTTAGGTTGATCTTAAAAAAATATATATTTAAATTTATTCACTTATTAAAAGGGCCAAGCTTGAATCTAAATTAAGTAATAATGTAGTGAATGTTAACGAGGCTAAATTGATATTAAATTCCAGTTTATAGTTTGAGTTTAAGAATAAATACCAGTTCAAATTTGAAGAATAATTAGTGATATTAGATTGAACAAGATATTTTGAGCTTGTCGTGATCCAAAATCCATTGCCGATATCCTTTTTGTGAACAAAATAGAAAAAAAAACTACCTAAATTGTGAGCAAAATAATTAATAAGTGATCGTGATTGTGCTTTGCATATTGATTTAAGTATAATATATACACAACATTGCTGATATTCGTTGTGATAACTTATTCCTTTTGTTTATCATGATATTGTACCATCTCCACTTCTCTCTCTCTCTCCCCCTCCCCCACCCCTTCCCCCTTCGGCCCCCATTACTTTCGAACGAATATTATGTGCCCCATAAATGGTAGATTGCACCTCGACCCTAATATCTTGAATTTGAATTTTGATAATTTTTTGGGATTAAATCGAGAGAAATTTATCCCTCGTGAATACCTTAGTCTTGAAATGAATAATTTGTCTTAAACCAAACTGAGGGGGGATTAGACGTAAGCTAGCTCAGATACATTTGACTATTGAACCAAAAAAAAAAAAAGGAAAGAGTATGCTTGATTACGGTACGGAATTACTATTTTTTGGTATTTTTTTTTTGTTCCTAAAAAATATCTCACATATAAATTTATATATGTTTAAATAAGTAATTATAAATTATTCAAATTAAAATTAATAACTTAAATTAAATTTTAGCACCATACCTCCTCTTGATGAAAAAACTTTATGTTTAAAAAGACTAGCAACTTTCTTCGGGACTATGAGTAGAGTTGGTCAAATCTGAATTTGAGTTTTGTAGAAATCGTGTCTAGTCCTGAATTTTGGGTTCATCCTAACAATTTACGTGTAAGAAACAATTATAAATATTATTGAAAGAGTTACGATTATTAATTAAAAATATAATAAAATTAGTTATTACTCGTGCTTGAAGACATGAAATAATAAAAAAATTATTAATTATAAATATATTTGTATTAACACCAAAAATTAAATTACAAATATAAAGAAAATATTTAATCACAGATTGTAGTGGGAGTGAGTGGTGGTGGGAGATGATGATGGTTGTAGCGAGCAGAGACAACTTTAGTGGTGGCAGTGATGATGATGGTGGTGAGCGACAGTGATGATGATTGACAGTGATGATGGTGGGGCGACGACGATGGAGGTGGATGGTGACAATAGAGGTAGGGCAATGACGGGTGTTTGTGAATGATGGTAGTGATGTTAAGTGTGGTGATAGTGGATGACACTGGGTGGCAGCAGCAGTGAACGATGATAAGTGGTGGTGTTAGGTGTGGTGGGTGTGGGTGATAGTGGGTGGTGGTGGTGGTAATAGTTGACGATGGGTGATGGTGAGTTGTGGTGGGTGGTGGTAGTGAACGACGATGGGCAACAAAAGTGAGGGTGGGTGGTGGCAATGGGCGACGATTATGGTTGGATAATGATGATAGTAGTAATAAATATAAAAATGAAATGATGATAGTAGTGAATGATGGCAGTGACAGTGGGCGATGGTGGATAACAACAGTGGTGATGGTGGTGGTGGAAATAGTGGTGGGGTGGCAGCGAAAGGTTATGATGGTGAAGTGTTTTTATAAAGAAGTGATTTCAAAGAAGTATAAGTTAATATTATTTTTTTTTACTTACTTATTTAAGTGGTAAAATTACTTTCAACTTATTTGAAAGTAATTAAAATAACTTGTTCTAAATACTATTTTTTTATTTTTTAAAGTTCTTATAAAAAGTCATAAATCCTAAAAACACTTTTGAAAAGTCACTCCAAACATACCTTAGCGGGCCAATTTTTTCTATTAAATTTAGATAGTTAATATTAACCGTCAGATTAATTTCAAAATAAAATTTAATACAATCTCAATTGCGAAAAGTAAAAGTCGTTTGAACGAATATTATATGCCCCAGAAAGAGTAGGTTGAATCTCAAGTGGTAGTTCAAGTGATAACAGAGACGAGTTATTAACAGAGATGTCCTGAGTTTAAATCTTGGCAATTCCTTAGAGCCAGGTCAAAAGGAATTTATCTTTTATGAATACTCTAATTTTGGCGTGAATGATATGTGTTAGACCAGACTGAAAGGAAATTAATCGAAATTTACGTAAACTGACTCAAACACTCATAATCATTGAATCAAAAAAAGAGTATCCTCTAGTACAGTACCGAATTACTATTTTTTGGTATCTTTTTTTTGTTTATTTTTTGCCTATTAAAAATACATCACATATAAATTTGTATATTTTTAAATTAATAATTATAAATTATTCAAATTTAAATTAAATTTTAGCACCATACCTCGCTCGGTGATAAAACTTTATGTTTAAAAAGACTATATCAACTTTCTTTGGGATTATGGGTAAAGTTGGTCAAATGTGAATTTGAGTTTTGTTGAAGTCGTGTCTAGTTCTGATATTTGGGTTTATCCTAACAATTTGCATGTGAGGAACAATCGTAAATATTATTGAAAGAGTTATGATTATTAATTAAAAATATAATAAAACTAATTATTACCTTTGTTTGAAGATATAGAGTAAAAAAAAAAAATTCGATTATAAATATATTTGTGTTTACACTCAAAATTAAATTACAAACATAGGGAAGAGAGAAATGAAACTAATCATTGATTGTAGTGAGGGTGAGTAGTGAAAATGGTGGTGGGAGACGATCA